TGTGCCCAAAGGGCGTTTACCTCCAAAGTCTGAATTTCTCTGAACTCGGCACACCAATAGGTAGTTATGCTCCGAGTTTCACATTCCTATTTCTGCCCGATTCGCTAGGTAAAAAAAAAATTACTCGAGAACGCCAACCCCTCGTGGCATGCAACCTAAATTTTTAAAATTATTTTTCCTTAATTCGGTGTCTCAATAGGCACGTCTATCCCGAGTTTCAGCTTTCCATGTCTCTCCCTTTGGCTGAAGCAAACATATTTGAAAATATCTCTCCCCTAATTGGGTGCCGCAGGGTATGTACCTCCAAAGTCGGATCTTCTCTGAACAATACATCCCAATAGCTAATTTTGCCCGAGTTTCATATTTCTAACTTCTCTAGAACATGGTTGGAATTAGCGTCACTCACTGACTCACTCAGTCACATGCATCATTGCATCACACATGCAAATTTCTTCAGCCATCTTCTATGTGGTCTCAGATGTTCCCAGAGGACTTGATTTGTATATATTGAATAACTAATGATTTGACGATAACAATTTTGAGTCCGTGTTTGTCAACAATCTCCACCATCCGATAGCGAGCGTTAGGCTTTTCTCCCAATCTGACTCACCCACGTTTTTCGTCTTCCTCTTCCCATGCTTCCGTGCTCCATGATAATGTTTGCCACGCTCTATTAGATAATACATTTTAGTACTGGTTGAATATGTGATAAAAAGGTGATAACGTGGGGATTGTAGCTGTGAACTCGTATCAGAATCGGTGGTTCTCTTCTACTGTAATGGAAAGCGAAATAACGTCTTCAAATTTAAGGTAATGGTAATTCTCTTTCAAAGAATTAAATGAAACACAGCTGGAATTTTCAGCGGCCATATTTCGAATCAATAATATTGCGTGCACCCCGCCATTCCTCCCCTCCCCCCTTTAAAACAATCCTAGAATTACTCTATATACCAAAATACAGGTTTGGTTCTATAGCATTTAAATGGGAGAATTTGTACTAATTGAAAACTTTCTTGTATTAAGTGAAGGAGGGAAGATGCTTCCCATCCCCATAGATCTCCAATTTCCCTTTTTTAGTCCTCGAGTTTTAACTCTATTGGACTGACCTCTATTGGACTGACGGGTCGGGGAGGCAGCTCAGTCTCAAGTTTCCTGCTAGGTGCAGGAGAATACGCCATCAGAATAATTATTTGCGAAAAGGGGCACCTCTTCCGGCAGCGCTCGACGTGATCACCTCATTAAATAACGTCACCCTCGGGCAAGCAGCAGGCAACGAAACGCAGTGAACGATGGATTCACGACAGGCCCACACGAACGTGACGTCATGGGAAAACTGGATGGGTCAACAGCGCCGCTTAGAAAGAGAACGGAACCAGAGACCCGAGCTCTAAACTCAGAGGCATAAGTGGGCTGTGGGTTGGGCGCGATCGGTTCGACATGGCCCGCCGGGGGAGGTTCATAAAGTCCGGTCCGGCGATGGAAAGTTCATCCGCGCAAGCCTCAGGCAGACATACAGGAAGTCGTAACCTGTGATTGGGAAGATTTTGCGCTCCATCAGGCAGACCCGACCGGCGGATCGGTTGGCAATCGAGTTACATGTTTGGTGCAGGCGAATACGCTAGAATACACTCAGAGGAGTCTTTTTCTCCAGCCGTTAACAGACGCCGGAGGCCAGTTAACAGGCCTCTGGCGGACAGGAGTACATCGGCTATTATTATATAGATGTATGCAAAGAAAAATATTTTTGGAATTGTTTCAAAGCACTGGAGTCCAATTCTGGGAGTGCAAACTTACGTGTGGAGCAACAAGTCCTTCATCGGCCAGCTATTGGCTAACGTAGCTCCTAAACTATAGCTCCTTATTTGTCGACGTACGTGGGCATCATGCATTCAGGGAAAACTACTGTAAGTATTGGACGCCTCATTTTTACGTCGTGCATGTCCAGGCAGAATTTAAGGGAGGACTTCCCAACCTCTTTCATTCGCGATGCCATACATCACAAACCACTCACTTGGTCAACCACTGGTCGAAGCTCAACAGGCTCTCACATCTATACGCTAAAATCCCAAATGAAAACATAACTTTGTTGCCGGTTCGCGACCCCAAATATGATCTTGGCGACCCCGAACGGGACCCTGACCCCTGGGTTGGGAAGCTCTGGCATAAGCCCTTCAGCAATCGTTGCGAATCGCTTGTCTCAATTGCGTGTTTCAAGTGGGCACGGGTATTTTCTCGACTAGAAGGGCGAGACACTTATCCTACCAGTCGACGGTATTATACACGATTTTCTTAATAGGGGAGAAAGGAGCAAAATCACTCCTGAAAAGGCCAGATGGTTCCTGAAAGATCTGGTGGCCTGAATAGTACATGTCCGACGTCACGACATCGCTGGGGTTCAAGCAAGTGATGTCCACGTACTCATTGAGGCTGTTACAGTTCTGGAGCGTTCGTGGTTTAGAGCTGTGAGCTGACTCCTACACGGTCAAGGGACAGACTACTTGCAGTCATATTACAAGGCAATGTAATGGTCGCAAAGCATTGTCTTTTCTCCTGCATCAGCCATTTCAGTGATCACACTTATGCCGATACCCCATTAGGGGTAAGCTTGATTTTGAACAGGGAAAATACGATTATCGTATAATAGTGATTGGACTATGACTGATGAAGCGACAGTCACATTTAGGAGAAATGGAACAGCATTTCTATGTTGAAATTATTTTTCTGATTATATAAATGCACTCCTACTTGCTCTCTATATAGAAAACAAATAATAAAAATTCCGTTCAAATGAATGAAACAGACGTGAACTTGTGGGGACTTGCCTGATAATGAAAGCAAGCATCGTGCTTATGTTTTGTTTGCTTACAAACTTATCTCTATCATATGCATATTTTTGTATTATCAGACATACTGTATATAGATTTTCTCCTGACATCAGGTTTCTTTCAGTAATCACATGTAAGGCCATCCTCTAGCAGCCAGTTGAAAAATTGTCATTAATAGGAATCATGAAAATCTTCAACTACATGTTCGTTGACTGGAATTGGTATGTCATCAGCAGCATCATCAACAGTCATCAACAGCGCTCGCGGCGCGTTCGTAATGCTGTTTTAAATGTTCTGAGATTTCATTTCTTTTGCAATTTCAGCAGTTTCTGACCTACCCCGCAATCCCGTGCTTCATCAGCCATCCAACTCGTCGGGATGTAGCTCCTAGTAATTTATTTTTGCTCCCTAAACTAAAGAATGTACTGAAATGAAGGAGATTTTAGGTATTCAAAGCAAAATTGTGAACGCGCCGCGAGCGCTGCTGGTATTTCCAAAAGATGAGTGTCAGCAATGCTTCCAGCGGCTGAAGAAACGCCGGAAAATTTGTGTAGATGCCGAAGAGGACTAGTTTAAAGGATATAACTATCAGCAGTCAGAGTCACCACAGCGTCATAAAAAAATTAAGTCTTAGAACTTTTTGATCAGACCTCGTAAGGGAACTGTATCTGAGGGTCACCGGTGGCACTTATGACCTGGCGCCGTCCATCTGTTTGGCATAACCCACCTTCCTCAAGTCAGCCAATTAGTCAAAAACCGTTGCAAAATGCTGATATTGCTAGGCAAAGAGATTATCAGAAAAACTTGTGCTTTGTTGTCGCATACCTGTTATTGCAATTATACTAATGTCAAACAAGAGGAAATAGTTGGTGAATTAAGGTTGACATCTCTCCAGAATTGAAGTTGCCACCCAAGGAAGATGAAGAATCTGTGGTGTCGTCTGCCAGAGGAACAAGTTCAACCTCAACATCTCCGAAGAAGCGTAAGAAGGATGTTGCATCGAAGGGTACATCTAACTCCCAGATGAAAGGCGGACCGTCACCAAAGAAGAAAAGGCCTGCGAAGGGGGATGTCAATTCAGTGAACAAACAAGATGATTCACGGAGCTCAGGGAGAAGGTATTATAACCAGTGGAAATTGATTGTTCCCCTACTGAGTAGTCAAGATTGTCTCGTCACTTCATACGCCCATTTGACGACGTTCTAATTGACTCTCCTTGCATTCGTCAATTGGGGCTTAACGCATCAATAATAATTTAGGTTCCCTTCTAAATGTTCATGCTTTTGAACAACTCTTTTTCATTTCAGTGGTTCCATAACTCCGGTGGCACGGATCAAACGACTGAAAAAGATTTTATCTGATGGCAGCACGTTGATCGATATGGACGACTTTCTCCAGGAACTCGGTGAAGATGATTTCATCCCAATGTCTCTGGAACAGGACATAAGGAAGAGAGACAGCTATGCAGATAAAAGGAATGAAGTATTCGCGTTTCTCCTCCGAAAGAAAAATCCCGAGACAACGTGCGAGAAATTGCTCAACTCGCTTCAGGCAATGAAAAGGAATGACATTACCGATAGGTGGGAAGATAGATCTTGACTGTGTTCTCTGCCAGAGTAAATCACTAGCATGTATGCATTCGATATGGAAAATGTGATTTGCATCCCAATGCTAATGGCTGAATATGTTTTCTTTCTCGCATAAAATGTCGATTCTTGCATTTTCCAACAACAGCTGGCAAAAATATATGCATAAAATGTATAAGGAAACATATTTCAGCTTCGAAAACATGTCTAAAAATAGTGTTTTATTGTTATTTCTGCGAGTTTAGGCAATTGTATAAAAAATGTATATTATTATTTCACCTTATCATGCACATTTGCTGGCCTTCAGACAAGTGTCTGAACACGCATCTTGCATTAAAAATATATGTTTAAAAAAAATCAAGATGTAACACAAGTATATCCCACAGTTCCATCCCAAACTGTAACGTTGTTCATCGTAAATTTTGATTTACATCTGAACTCAAATCAATTTATTCAAGCTGTCTTGCTGATGAAAATATAAAATCCTCAAGAGTAAAATCTGTCTGACACATAAAGTCAGATATATTTTATCACCATGCACAGAAGTTGATTAGAAATGCGACTTTCTTTGGTTACCTCATACTTCCATTATCACCTCGTTTATTCTTAAATTTATGCATTGAAAGTCAACAAAATCTTCACTTTTCACTTCCACTCTGCACCAGTTCACGACTTGCCTCACATTAGCATTAATCACATGCCTCAGCCTCAAACCAAGTTTAATAGACATGGCAAGGGATTAGCTGACGGGCTTCCGTCAGGTATGCAATCCTTTACGTGAACATACGAGACATAAGGAATGACTGGCACTCTCATCATCACTGCACAAAATGGCTTCCACCCAAAGAAAGGATTACATTCCCTAAAAGCCAGAGTTTTCTTTCCTGGAAGATGGAGCTGAGGGGGGCTTCAGCCATGAATGGGCTAACATTAATTTGGATAGTTGCCTCGAGTGCTCTTATGGACCTGTCATTTATATACTGAAATTTTGACTTATTATCCTCGCTGCGACTGTCTCCTTTGTGGTCTTACTTCAGCCTAGTTTCAGGAACATTTCAGAATAAAAACGTTGAGATTTAGATAAAGATTTAAGTCAACATGAAAATGTATTAACTTCTCAAAATTAAGTGCGGGATAGGACAAGAACCTGATAGTTGTGATAGACCCCACAATTTTTCAGAGAAGTTCCACGTTCCTACCTTCGCGCACCCGATTATCACAATCAATGATAGGAAATTCAAACTCATCAAGACTCCCTCTAATACTCTAACCTCGTCAATCGGCTTTTGCTCCCTTTCTTGAGAACGTTCATGAATCCAAATGAACGTGTCAGAGAAGAAAGGTAACCAAGCTCAGGGACGACGTGGGAGTCGAGGTTAGTGGGAAGACCATTCATCGTACCCTCCACAAAGCTGGTAAGTGCAGCAGGAAGAAAGAAAAACCGAAACTCTCGCCAGCAAATATCGAGGCCCGCATGGAGTTCGCCAGAAGTCACATGGGTTGGACGATTGACGACTGGAAGTGAGTCATTTGGTCAAATGAGACTAAGAATAACCGTTTTGGCTCAGATGGACGCGCCTGGTACCGGAAGCGTGTGAGGGAATGGCGACCAGTTCGACTCGTCAAACAGTCAAGCACGGTGGCGGCTCGATCATGATTTAGAGCTGCATGACGATCAAGGGAACCGGCCACATGAGCAAGATCAACAGCACCATGGATCAGCAGCTGCTCTACCGATTCATAATGGAGGAAGAATTGTTGCAATCGATCGACTGGTATGATCATGACGTCAGCATAACTATTTCCCAGCATCACAACGACCCAAAACATGAGACCAATAGCGCCAAACAGTGGCTGAATCAACAGCCGTTTGAAATCCTGAAGCGGCCAGCTCAGTCTCCAGACCTAAACCCCATCGGGCATCACTGAGCACACCTCAAGCGGCGCCCCAATGAGTACGACGAGTCGCCAAAACCGCCATGCTGGAGGTGTGGTAGCAGGTCCAAACTGAGTGGAGCAAAATCGACCAAGAAACATGTCGAAGATTAGTGGCCAAGGCGATTCGAGGCTTTGATTAAAGTCAACGGGATGTGGACAGAGTATTGAATTTATGGAGTAAGTGAATAAAGTTGAAGTTTTGATATTGGGGACAATCTGTTCGGATGCAGTATTTTTCTTTCAGTTGAGATTTCCCCATAACCACTGGATGCCCTAGTTAGCACCTAACATTGAAACAACATGGACTCAATGGTGATTCAACATCCGGATGTTGAATCAATATTGAGTCAATGTTAGGTGCTAATGGGCTGGATTCTAATGAAACTTTGGAAACTGATGGAAGA